AAAGGTGAAAGAAATAAAAAAGAAAGAAAGAAGATATAAATAAAAAACGAAAAAGAAAGATGAAACAAAAATAAATAAACAAAAATAAATACATCAACACATAAACAAACAAATGAAAAATTTTTTTCATTTAAATTAAATATTTAGAATTGAAGTTTTTCTCACCTGAGCTGTGATTATTGCCTTTGGTCTGAGAGCCTGAAAAAGAGATGCTTGATAAATAAAATATTCTCATGCATTTTTGTAATTTCACAGTCATAACAATGTACATTTATAACAAACACACATATGATATTCCATACAACATATTAAAAAAAATCCTCTAATCGAACACCTGAAATGGTACAGTACTTACAGACGAAGCTCAAAAGTAAAACGACGCATTTCAGATATGTGCGTTGATGTCCAGTGAACCCCTCCTTTTTTCACTTCATGTTAGATGAACATTTTCACAGAACCACATGACTGTTAGCAGCAGCATCAGGCAGAAATAAACATATGCATGCAACACTATTTAATACCATATAACAACAACAAATACATGCTCCAATACTCTTAAATAAAATGCTCTTAAATGGTCACTTTGACAGACCGAACCCACAACAAGTAGGAGTGTTTGATATGACAGCTTTATTGTGTCATAGTATGATGGTTTTCTGCATTTTATTTTTAGATATAAGAGGAAGAGATAGTAGATCACCACACAATCAGAAACAGTAGGCTCAAAATAAGATGTTTCTATTTCCTCATTTTCAATGATATGATACAATCCTTTTTAAATGCTCAACACACCTCTTCGTTCCTCTGAATGCTGCTTTCTGTAACTGTCATTTGTTGATACTTTGACATTTTCAAGAAGACGTCAAAGCACTCTGTTCTAGTCTCTCTCTAAAAGACAAAACAAAACAAACAGGCCCAAATATATAAAAGGTCTTAATCTGAAAACATTTCACACGCTTATTTTTACAGAACTTTATTTACCCCCCCCCCCCCCACACACACACACACACACACACACACACACACACACACACATACACATATAGGACTTTTTAAAGCACCATTTATTTTAAATCAATCACCTATGTTATTTATACCCCTGCATATAGTGTTCAGCATATACAAGAACACCTCCTCACAAATCAATCTTTTGAATTCATATTTTTAAAAGGATGCTTTACAATATTATATTTGTGCATATACATTAGTTTAGTCAGTACTGAAGCCAAATCTGGAGCTTATCTAACAAAAAAAAAACTTACGACAACGGTCCAAAAACTAGTACACCCAAATTTTTTTATTATAGAAAAATATTAAATACAAAATTTAAATTAAACAAACAAAAAAAAAATGCAATGTTTGCTTGAATTTAATTATATCTTTCAATTTAAAAATATTCGGTGACTAAAAAATAATTTGAATAAACATATCTGTTTAATAAATCTATTTTGTTCTAATGCACCAATATATTTTACACTGGGAAATGGATAAAAATTTTCATTTTCAAAATGGGGAGTACTTTTATATGCTGAGCACTTTGTGAAGCGGCATCAAAGTCCTTGGTGCAACATACTGTATGCTGGTCAATGATGGACAATTCACTTACTCTTAACATTTACGTTGAAAATGTTTGACCATTTCAAATAGTCATGTTCAAAGAAATTTAATAAAACTTAAACCCTAAAGTGGTGATATGCAGTTTCTGAAATATTAATAAACACTTGACAGTGTTATTGTACTAAAGTAAATTCATTCATTCATTTTCTTACAGCTTAGTACCTTCATTTATCAGGCATCACCACAATGGAATGAATCACCAACTTATCCGACATATGTTTTACACAGCGCATGCCCTTTCAGCTGCAACCCAGCATAGGAAACACTTTGGTATAACCCATACCAATTTAGCTTATTCAATTCCACTATAGCACAAGTCTTTGGACTCTGGGGGAAACCCACATGAACACCAAAATGCAAACTCCACACAGAAACGCCAACTGAACCAGTGACCTATTTGCTGTGAGGTTCAGTGTGAACCACTGAGCCACTGTGCTGCCTCACAATAGTAAATTTAAGATTTTTAATTTAGGAATTCCTCTTTTTTTCATTTTGTATTTGACAATTAAGCACATACCAGGCCTTGAATTCAAATGTCTAAAATTCAAGTACTTTTAAGCACTTTCAGCGTGGGAACCCTGATATATTAATAAAGACTTTGAGTAACAGGAAAAAATTAAAATTTAAAGCATGTTGCCAAATATACAGTACATACATTCAGCGCTCAGCATATATGAGTGCACCCCATTTTAAAAATAAATATTTTTATCCATTTCTCAATGAATATGAGCGATACATTTTGGTGTATTTGAACAAAACTAATTTATTAAACAGATATACTTATTAAAATAATATTTTAGTCAATTATTTCTTTAGAAATAAAACGATTATACATACAAATTCATGCAAAATATTGCAAAAAAAAAAAATAATTACAAACTACAATATTTCGACAAAATTGTAATTACTTTTTGCTGCTCTTGATTCTTCCTCCTTTTGAAAATTTTATTTAAAATTTTTCCCAAACATACTAATTTGGGCTACTAATGTTTGAACCGTTATTGTAAGTTGTTTTGTCAGATTTGGCTTCAGTACTGACTAAACTAATGTATGCACTAATATATTGTTAAGCATCCTATAGAACAATATCTATTTAAATGGGAGATTTGTGGGGGGTGTACTTGTATATGCTAAGCACTGTATATTACATTCAAATAATCCATCAAAAGATCACACTTAGCTGATGATTGATTATAAAGCGTGTTTGGCATTGCTGTCCCATTAGAGAGCCCTGAGCTCATGAGATCCTCAAGCCCGGAGCTCCCTCCGGTTTGCAGAGAGAGGGGAGTTTGAACTCAGGTAGGTCTCCAGAACTCCCCTTCTTGTTAATGGTAAATGCAAATTATGAATAACTGAAGAGAAATAAAGCTGATTAATCGCTCGTCTATGTGGTCGATTAGGTTTAGGTCAGTTTTCTTATGTTACATGTTTTTGGCATGTGGGAGGAAACCAAAGAGCCCGGGGAAACCCATACAAACATGGGAAGAACATTTAAACTCACAGAACTGTCAGCTTGACCAGGTAAAAAAGACTTGAACCAGTGACATTGCTGTGAGGCAACGGTGCTAACCACTGGGCCTCCGTGCTGCCCTGTCAAAGAAAGGGGAGGAGTAGGGGTGGAAGGGGGATTCTTCAGGATGAATGATGATGGCTAAGGTAAAATACTCTGGTTATTGAAAGCGATTTAGGAATCATCTGATTGGTGGATCATGCATTAGCTAATGCGGGACCAGTTGCAGACAATTATAAGCACGTGCTCCTCTCTTCATTATATTCCTGTTGCTATTACTTTTGTCAAACACAAAAGTCTTCTTTTAGTATTTTTTTATTTTAATTAAAATGTAAAATTAAACTAACATTGTAATAAAAAGAGCATATATAGATGTAATATTCTACCAGAAATGTATATTTTCACTTATAAAAAATGTGACAGGGCCTGACTTAAGCTTGTCGTCCTCAAAAAACAATTCAGTGATAGAACGCATCCTTGCTCACTGTCAGCATCTCCATCAAATGATCTCACTTCCTTTGAGTCATACCCTTAAAGGTGTTTTGCACGCATTTCATGTTCAATTTGATGCAAATGTGACAGGACTGACAGAAACATGGGGACAATTGTACATTTATTTGTATTACATATTTGTAGTATTTATTTGTAGAATTTATTCATAATTTCATGCTTTAATCCATTTTTTTGTGAATGATAACAACTTAAACTGGCTATTTCTGAAGTATTTTTATTCTAAAAATCAGTTTTTAGCATAACAAAACTATTAAAGCTGTAGGTTAAATTGGGCTGGGGACAAGGACAATGATAGGGTTTGTACATTTCTAAAGTGTTTTAAACAAAGAACAAAAACCCGAGAACCAAATGAATGACATACTGTATGCCTTTACAGAACAACTCACAGAAATCAACCATCAGTCCATTTTAGAAATGTTTGGGATTAAATATTTTTTATTCACTGTATTTATCCTTTTATGTGAGGGACAGATAATGTACGTTTCTAGTAGAATGTCACATTTAGACCATTTTTAAGGCATGTAAACAATAACAAACGTATTTGCCGACTTACATTTTAATTTCCATAGCTTCTGAGAATCTAAAAAGATACACATAATGATAAATTATGTTGCGGTTTAATGTAAAATAATTATTAAATTGCCTCTTGTTACAGTTAAGAAACAGTTTGACAAACATCAGGAAATGTTCATGGCCAATAACATTACCACATTGAAATGGTCTTACTATTTTGTCAAGCACAACAGTGCTTTTTTAAATAGTATTTTTTAATTATTTAAGCTAAAATGTAAATTAAACTAAAATTATAATTAAAAGAGCACACATAGCTATCAATTTTACAAATGTAAGTAAATAAAGCTACTCTCTACAGCAGAACTATTGCATTCGTCGTGTTGCAACACCCATTCTGGCCTCTAGATGACAGCCTTACCTTTTTTTACAACTAATATCACCGAAAGCGCTGACAGTCCCTCCACACAACCGATTCATTACTCTTTAAGCCGCGTAAACCTTTTCTTTGTTCATGTAAAAGTTCATAAAAAGCGCTCACCTCTGGATCATTTATGTTGTGTAGAGTTTTTCTTGCCTTTGTCATCCACGGGGAGAGCAGAGGAAACAGCCTCATGAACTGCAGCCCCTTCTTTGTAACCCTACCCCAATATTAATACCCATCAAATCCTGCTGGGAATATTTCCCTACTTTCCTGGTGTCGAGAAGAATAACTTGATTTTCTCATTGCATTCCTCCGCCTGTTGAACTAACAGTGTTTCTGAGGCCGTGTGAGGGAAGGACGGAGGCCGCCGAGTGTCAATAACCAACCTCCAAATCCCGCCGAAAATACACACTCAAACTGGGCGAACTGGGGGAAAATAGACAATTATTTATTTCTTATAAAAATATTATTAAAGTACACTTACATGAGCACCAAAGTAAATATTGCAGCATGCAGTATCTCAGATAAACATGTCACATTTATAGATTTCATATATCGGCTCATGAGGGGTTTCTGAAGACCTGCTGAAGGAATCTTTCAAATATATTATTATCAACAGTAATGCTGTGTTCCCTTACAAAAAAGAAGTTTATCCAAGTGTGACTTTCAGTCTGCTTTTGTAGGCTATTTAATTTAATAAATTATAAATTATACTAGCCTAGTAAAGGCTACACAGTTCAACTGAAAAATAGCTAATCGTGAACTCTTAAACATGATTTATAAACTACAAATTGTGGCAGTTTAGCCTTAAATAGTACAGAAACAGTACCCTTGTCAGTATACAATGACATACTTCTTGATTGCAACATAGGCTCATTCTGAAAACGTAGCCCAATATACGTTTTTGGAGATTGCGAATTATGTATCCAGAGTTATGTATGGCTGCATTTCATCTTTCAAACGAACACTACGGGTGATATGAGGCCGTTATTTTTTTTGGTAACCAGCTGACCGCTTACCTTTATGTGGACGGCTTTACCGCTGTTACCAGTTTGTCTGGAGGTCAGAGCGGAGTTGACCACAATAATGGAGTTCGAGTCCGGTGAAGAACGGTTCCAGAAAGCAGGTAAGACAAAAACAAGCCAAAAAATAAAATACACAAGTAAATAACAGGGTGAGAATGTGGTAAAATCTGAAAACGTGGTAAAAATTAGGGGGCTTTTCTTTTTCTGGAATGCTTTTCAAAACACTGTCGGTTGGTTTAGTGGTTGCGAGGTGGCGCAATCGGAATTGGGGTGGTGGAGGGGAATCGTTCGAGATTGTTTCAGAGGTTCCAGATCCAGCTTGTTCTGGCTCAAATTAAGCCCTGGGTTTAGGGAAGGGCGTGAGCGGGTCAATAGGTGCTTTTCAAAATACTATTGGTTGAGTTTAGGGAAGGTGGTATCGGTCAGTTGGTAAGTAAATCAGTGAGTTAGTCAACAGCAGCATCTGGTGGATTTATGTGAAAAGAGCAGGCATGAATGGCACTCAAGAGAGAAATTTGAGATCTGAAAAAGCATACACAGCGGCCTCGATTGCACAAACAAAAACTGTGAAAAAACGTAGCTCCTGTGACGTATTTTGCTCTCTTCAGAACTGTATATAGGGGTACGTATTCAGAATGAGCCCGGGTAGCTTTTTTTGTAAGGGAACTTTGTTTACAACTCTATAAACCACACTGAAATAAAACAGTCCTGGATTGTAAAATTAATAACAAACAGTAAGATTGCATTGAGACAGAAAGTGTACGTTACATAATACTGCAATTATCATAAAGTTGAGCTGAATACACAAAGACACAAAGTACCTTTTAATGGTAATACAACAGAAACCTTTACCCCATTTCCATTTCGTCATCCATCTAGCTTCCCTGACATTTCCTTGCATAATTTCTTCACAAGCACACGCCTCAAATCAAACGAAAAAACAAAACAAAACACCACATTTTTGCAAATTAGCTGTCCGGAACACATTGTAAACAGACCCACCATACAAAAATATCACAGTTTCTCTGAATATATATCTATAAAACATCTCCACACTTGTCTTCCTGTGTGATGCTTGGCTTTGGAGTAGCGAAAAACCTTCGACTATTGTTCTTGGACTGTTCGCGCACGCTTTGATTTTTGAACTCTAAAAGACCCGGAAAACCCGAAGTCCACTTTTCTTTGACCTGAGACATTTCGAGGTCCATCAGAACTGCGATCGGGTTTATTTTTCCTGCAGTCCTACAGTACGGTTGTGGTCCTTAGCTCAATAAAACAAGAGGCAGCAGCATCGATCACCTGATGGCAACCGTTTAACACTGGTAATGGAAATGCTGGTGCACTTTTCCCTCCATGTGTGCATGTGTGTGTGTGTGAGTGTGCATATCTGTGTAGACTTTGGTGTAAATCTTTGGCGGGCCACTGAGAGTTGCAGGCCCGGTTGCTAGTCTGTGGCTGGGCAGGTCAGGTTTGATGGTGTTTGGTGAACTGGGCTCTTTGTCGGATATGTGGTGGTCTCTGTAGGTCGTTGGTCGGGGTGGTAAAGCGCTCTGACGTCTTCGACTATGGCACAACCAGAGCACGATGGTGCCCACGATCAGCAGGGCAGCAGCTGGGATGCCAATGATCAGCGGCCAGGGTAAACCAGGACTGATATGGCGGGGAATCACATCCTTTTCCACCTTGGGATCTGCAAATAAACATGATTTATCGTTGAAAAAAGGTCCCGTGAGGAGCTTTGAAATGTGCATATAGAGAGGGTGGGGCATAGCATAGCTCCTCCCCTTTTGTTTTTATCACAGCACTGCCAGCGAGAGTTGTTGAGCATAAATGAAAATCAAATAAAGAGAGTGAAGTGGGTGGGGCATGTCAGATGTTAGAGAGCGTTTGATTGGTCAAGATTTGATGAGAACTATGAGGTGACATGAAAAAAAAAGTTGATCCAGTTAGGTAGAAGTGATAAACTGCAAAGCTCTGGATGTTTATATCAGTTTTATATTTTCTATATGTGAAGTTTGTCTCTGTTTTGGAGCACACTAGATTATAGCTACCCTTAAAACTAACAAACTGAAACTAACATCTAAAATATTTTATTTTAATTACATGGGACCTATGTTTTTTTAATTAAATAGGTCCTTCCTATGTTTTTTGTACTATTTATGAAGTTATTATGAAGCCTGCTGAATTGCGTTTTTTAACATTGTTTGTAATTGATTTGTCTCTTTATGTGTTTTTTTGTATCATGAAATGCTACTGCTCAAATTTAATTGCCCGAGGAGGGATTAATAAAGTTGTTAAATTTAAGATTTCAATTTGATGAACTCTGATTTGTAAATTTGTAACACATGACCAATTAAAAGTTTTAAGTGATCTCTTTGCTGAATTAAAAGAAAGGCTAAATTAAACCAGCAAAGCTGCAGCATTAAGGATGTCAGAATGGCTCAGTTTACTGTAAATCAAATCGTTTTTAGATGCCTTGTAGAAAATAACCAATTTAACTTTGAAACTGGGATTTTATTTTTGCCAGCAACATATATAATATAAAATTTGAAAATAAATTAAATTAGTAATGTAATTCTGCAGTAAAAGGTATTACTTAATGTTTATATTTTGACAGTGCAGTAATATTATTATTACAATATTTCTATAATATACTGATATATATATATATATATGAGCCAAACAACATAATTATAAAAATATCTTTTTTTTTAATAGTCATAATAAATTGGTTAAAACCAGTGTGCTTAAAAATGTGAGTATAAATAGATTTGTGTAAATGTATAACATATCTTAATTCATTGTATGAATCAATGTTTATGTTTGTTATTTTTTGTAAAAAGTCAAAACTTTCAAGTTTGTTCTAAACCAGGGGTGCCCAAACCTTCTTTTACGAAGAGCCAAAGATTAAACTGATTGACGGCTGTGGGCTGAAGTTAAATAGAAAAAACTGTATTACATTAAAGTCACCATGGTTTTTTCCCCTAATTTATGTAATAATATAAAAACATAAATTAAAAACATTGCTTTAATTATACGAACTTAGGCATTTTTTTTTACATTTTAATGAACATATTAGAATATAAACAAACAATTCTATTTGGACCATAATAATGTTCTTAATCAGAAACACTGCCCTATGGGATGGTGGGCCAAATCAAAAGTTATCATGGGCCAACTTTGGCCCGCGGGCCCTAGTTTGGGCATCTCTGTTCTAAACCATTGAGCCAAAAAATATTTGTTAGGGATACTATTTGATAATTGGGACCATTTAAAAAGTGTTGCCAAACTAAATATTACACCCTCATTTTTTTTCAAGCAGCCTTTACAGTATTAGTTATTAGATATAAAAACCACATTAACTGACCAGAGAGAACAGTCAGGTAGGCACTGCGGACGCTGTAGCCCATGGTATTTGCCCCCAGACAGATATACATCCCGGCATCCTCGTCTCGGGCCTTCACGATGGCCAGCTTGTTGAGATATGACCCGTCCGGCCTGGACCATACATCTCCAGTGGGTAAAACCACATAATGCTGTCCTCCAACTTCCAGCGTGGAGTTATAGCGGTCCTCTGAGCCCGGATCAACTCGCTTCAGCCACTGGATCACTGGTTTCACATCACTGTGGACTTTACACTGGAAAGAGGCTGTTCCTCCAAACTCCACAGTCGTGTTGACGGGATGAGTGCCGGTCAGGATGGGTTTGGAGTTTGTGCGCTCTGTGGAGAATAAAACAGATCGAAGCATGAAGCAGTTTGAATGTTCAGTCATTCTGCACATTTGGAACTGAGTGTGGTGTAACGATGAACAGAAACAGTGGTCAGAAACATGGCATTAGTGGTGAGTTGTTGAGTCGAGGTGTTAATGCACGACATAAGGTTGAGTCTGGCATCATGATATCATATTCTCTTGTTCTGGCAAACACAATGGATCATATCTGAACTATTCTTTAAAAAACTTCATATCTATTGTATAACTGTCTAGTTTTTAGTAAGTTGCCTGCTGTACTTCAGTAAACTCCCCACTGGAAGGGTTTCAGGGCAAGCACAATGGATACAACTCAAGTCACTTTTAAACTTTTATTGCGTACACATACACAATGTTCATCCACAAACTAGGCAGCCAGAGTGCTAACGCTACGCTAGTCTATCAATACATCGATGTTCTTCTTCACTTATTTAAACAGTTCCTAGGTTATAAACTGGCAAGCTGACCTGCCCCGAACAGTAACAGGCTGAGAGAAAATAAAAAATTGACTCTTGCGTCTTGATGCATACACAGACACAATCTATTGGCTAGGAATGGTAATACTGAACAAATATCTGTAATCTAGTAAAACTATGACATATATGAAATACAACGTAAATGTGCCTGCATTTAAAATAGCATGTTACATATACACGCTTATATATTTTCCAAATACCCCGGAACATAATAACATCTATCACTTATAGGCATGGGCCGGTATAAGAATTTGACGGTGTGATATAGCCTTGGATAAAAATATCACAGGTTCACGGTATCACAGTATTGTACTACTCTAAAAATGTTCTTTTTAAATATCTAGGTATTACAAAAATATTTTACTCCATTGTACACAATATATTATATTTTAAGAAACATTTAAAATATTTAGGAACAGTAGCTTTTGATGTAGAGGGTCCTTATTTGCTGGAGATACTGTTGCCCTAAAAATTTTAAATAAAATAGTTGCAAAAAAAAAAAAAAAAAAACGTAAAAAAAAACTGTACATACAGTTGAAGTCAGAATTATTAGCCCCCCTGACTTATTAGTGCCCCTGTTTATTTTTTTTCCCAAATTTCTGTTTAATGGTGGGAAGATTGTTTCAGCACATTTCTAAGCATAATAGTTTTAGAAACCTATTTCTAACAACTGATTTATTTTATCTTTGTCATGATGACAGTAAATGATATTTTACTTGATATTTTTCAAGACACTTCTGTACAGTTTAAAGTGACATTTAAAGGCTTAACTAGGTTAATAAGCTGAAATAGGCAGGTTAGGGTAATTAGGCAAGTTATTGTATAATGATGGTTTGTTCTGTAGACTATCTAAAAAAAATTAGCTTAAAGGGGCTAATAATTTTGTCCCAAAATTGGTGTTTAAAAAATTTAAAACTGCTTTTATTCTAGCCAAAATAAAACAAATAAGACTTTCTCCAGAAGAAAAAATATTATCAGACATACTGTGAAAATTTCCTTGCTCTGTTAAACATCATTTGGGAAATATTAGAAAAAGAAAAAAAAAATCAAAAGGGGGCTAATAATTCTGACTTCAACTGTATACCGTAGGAACAGTATATCGGAAAATTCTGGCGGTTTTAAAACTTTGACCTACACTAATGATATGGATTTTATATATATAGTACATTTACTATAGTATATTACCTATAATACATACATACATACATATCCACTTGGACACCACAAGTTATTATTTATAAAAAAATTACAAAAAGACACTGAATTATTTTTATATAAAATATTGACCCATTTTCATAAACCCTATCAAATACAAAAGACAAAATACTATTTAGTATTTAAAATACGTATGAAATACATGTATCTTAAATACTGCCCATCCCTGATTAAGAAAACAACTAAAATGTTTGTTATATGTAAAATTTAATTTATTTAGAAATTATTATCTAGCAAACATGTATGAATATATTAACATAAAATATCCAATAAGTGTAAATGCTTATATGGAAGTTTTTCTTATGTGAATTAATAATTATGTTGCTAACTGATTTTTCAGAAAAGCAGCAAAAATTTGTTTGGTAGGCTCGAAATTATATTATAGATATTTTTCATTGTTATCCACCCACTTTGGCTTCCACAACTCACCAATGACATCCACTTTGTATGTGGCATTGATATGTCCGGCTGCATTGGAGACATGACAGGTGTATTTTGCGCTGTCCTGCGGCTGCAGGTTCTTCAGTGTCAGTGTCCACTGTGGCCGTTTGCTCTGCTGAGGATTGTCCAGCAGGCTCTGGTCTTTCCACCATGTAATGACTGGTGTCGGGTTTCCACTGGCCAGACATTTGAGACGCACCGAGCTGCCGACCGGCTGCTCCAGCACTCGCCTGCGCATCTTTGTGGGCTGACTGAAACGCGGCTTCACTGCAGACAGAGTAAAACATTTACAATATATTTACAACACAGCTGGAAAGCAAAATATGAGCAATTCCAGCATTATTGATGTGACATTTTCAGTAAAAACTCAATACATAAAATCTCATAGAAAGTATATGTTATTATTATATTGAAACATCAGTTTATATTTCCCAAAACAACTAACCACAGAGTTATAGAATCAGAAAAACAATAATCTGTAAACATCTTTTAGATTTTAAATGAGCAAAATAAACATGCGTTATGGATGTGAGCAAAAAAGTTAGCGAGTTTACAGTACACAACATACTTTGTAGAAAGGCTGTGAATTAAACTGCACAACCCAAAATAAATAATACAACAAAAATGATTGATTTTATTTTATTTGACATTTTTGCATTCATGAGGAAAAAGCGTGGTTATGGATGTGACAGATCTTAAAACTGGCACTTGTGTGGCTTTAATAAATAAAAAATAATTGTTTAAAAACATTGAGAGACATTTTTGGTTATTTTTACAGTACTGTTAAATAGAAGCCTACACAAAAACGTCGAACGATAGTTTCACTATTTTGGTGAAAATGTGATTTTTTTCATGGCAAGGTTAACATTTGCATGGAATTGCTCATATGCTGTTAGTTATAATAATAATAATAATAATAATAATAATAATAATAATAATAATAATAATAATAATAAATAATAATAAAATAAAATAAATAATTTTATTTAAAGGCGCCTATCAAGCAACTCAAGGACACAGTACAATCAACAAGAGCAATAAAACAACAAGAGAAATAATAAAATATACACAGCAATAGTGCAAATAAAATTAAGTATTAAAAGCCATCTTAAATAAGTGGGTTTTGAGTCTTGATTTGAACAGTGTAAGGGAGTCAATGTTTCTGATGGCAGGTGGTAGTGAGTTCCAAAGCCGCGGAGCAGAGCGGCTAAATGCTCTGTTGCCCATAGTTGAAAGGCGAGAAGAGGGAACAGACAAATGGAGGGAGGAAAAAGATCACAGGGTGCGAGAAGGAACAGAAATGTGGATGAGGGCAGACAAATATGGATGGGCGAGATTGTGGATGGCTTTGAATGTTAACATCAAGATTTTAAAGTCAATTCGAAAATGAACAGATAACCAATGAAGCTGCTGCAGGACTGGGGTGATGAGATGAGAAGAAGGGGTTCTGGTGATGATACGGGCAGTTATAGGTGTCCATTACAGGTCCTGATTCAACTCTAATTCACAAGCTCTTGATTCGATTAAATTGTAGATATGAATCTTGCTTGAATTATTGATTCGATTTAGCAAATATAAATAAAGTACAAACCCAGCAGGCAAATTGATGTCAAAATGACATCAAAAACACGTCTAAAGATTGGTCAAAACCTTGAGGTCCCTTTGACATCTACACATGGATGCTCTTTTGACCAAAAGGAAAGGTTTATTCATCTGAAAGCTTTAATACAAACTGGATTTTCTATCTCTACAATCAATGTAAACATCCTTGATGTCAAATTGTCATCTAATATTGGGGTAAAAAAAAAAAAAAAAAAAAGAAAGAATCAAAACTCACCTACTGGGAGTGCTATTGATATTTCTAAGGAGTAAACAGATGCATATGTATATTAAAGGAGAACTGTTATGGAAAAGTCACTTTAATAAGTGATTTAAGCACTTTTTGTCATGCAACAGTAAATATATCCAGCCTCTAATTGTAAAAATTAATTCTAGACTTTTTAATCCCTCTTGATTAATACAGTCTGCAGAAACACTTTGATTGAGGGAGAAAGCCCCACTAGTGACAATCTCTTTCTCGTTAGCATAAACAGCCCTGAGTGAGAAGCAGTCATCCGCTATTAGATTTTTCACCAGCTGAAGAAATGTAAATGTGGAGTTTTAGGAAGCACAAATGAACACTGTAGTCTCCTTCTTCTGAGACAATTCTTTTAACATCTTTAGTTTTTCACAGAGACAACGTTACTCCAGTTTTGAATCTGCTGCTATGCTGACACATATGCAATTGTAGCTCCACCCTCTTTTAAAAAGAGCACAACCTCAATTGAATTTAAAGCAACAGTCGCCAAAACGGCAAACATTTATATCAAAGCCTAAAAGCGGCAAGAGTTATAAAAATACATTTGTGAGGTATTTTGAACACACACATTCATGGGACATTATTTAACATAATAGGACATAATAGGTCCCCTTTAAAACAGAGCCCACCACTCTATTATAGATTCATGGATATGAAATATATGAATCGACCACTTAAAGAAAAAAGATTAATTAAAAAACCCAGTGCTAAATAAAGTATTTTTGGAGCTTTCAATGCCCCTGCTGGAGAGCTTGTGTGTTCAGTAATACAACTTTAAAAGGAGGAGGCTGTATTTCATTTATTTACCCCACGGCTCTCTGGTTGGTTCCTGCAGGCTCAGATCTGCATTAGGCTCTGCTGCGTCTGGAGGAGGCGGGTTCTGTGGCACAGCTGCATCATCTGAAACACAACCCAATCAGAAGTTAAATACACATACAAACACCGGTCAGTAAATCACTTTATAACATGCAGATATGAATGTCACAGAAGCATTTTAATGTCTTATTAGACGTGTGCTGATAATTATTATCATGAGCAATTCAAAACAGTGTCTATAATTATGGTTGTTTAAGCTTTATAATGCATTTAAAGACAGTTCAGATGGCTGTATTCATGGTGGTGTTTGAGCACATTTACAAACGTATGGCTCATGTAAACAAAACATCCCTATCCTTGCATTAGAACAAAAAAACTCATTCCAGATCCATTTTAAGCACTTTCCATTGCTTTAATGCTTAAACATGATAGGTAACATTTCAATCTGTTACTAATTACGCTCTGATAGATGTCAGAAGAGCATCTCTGGTGCAGTTGTAGCCTAAAGGTTAGGGTGTTTTACTTCAAAATGTTGCAGGTTTGATTCTCAGTCCCAGCCTGAAGATGGGGGGGTTAATGAACCGCACTCTCCCCAAATTTGATACCCAGCTGAGCAAGTCATCTGACCCCTAATTGTTCCCCAGGTGCTGGAAGTAATAGATGGCCACTGCTGTGGCTATATGCTTACTTATGAATGTGCACTTGGATTTGTTAAAATAATTATGAGTATTTACAGTAAAACCATACTACAGGAGGCAGAAGACAGTCAAGTATAGTGTCATTCATTTTCCTTCGGCTTAGTCCCTTTATTCATCAGGGGTCGCCACAGCGGAATGAACTATCAACTTATCCAGCATATGTTTTACATAGCGATTGCCCTTCCAGCTGCAACCTAGTACTCTGAAACATCCATACACACTCATCCACAAACATACACTGTGACCAATTTAGTTTATTCAGTTTACCTGTTCTGCATGTCTTTGGACTGTGGGGAAAACTGAAGCACCCGGAGAAAACCCATGCGCACACAGGGAGAACATGCAAACTCCACACAGATACACCAACTGACCCAGCTGGGGCTCGAACCAGTGACCTTTTTGCTGTGAGGCAACAGTGCTAACCACTGAGCCACCGTGTGGCTTTTATGGTCGGGGCTTTGTGTAATTTTTTTTTTGGACAATATGTCGCTAAATACACCTAAAACATTATTATTAGGGAAAACTTAATTATTTGTGTCATTCTTATTTTATGTTTCATAAAAATTTTTGCTTTTGAAAAAAAAAAAGTATGTTTAAGACACAAAGGGTGACAGGGTGGCACAGTAGGTAGTGCTATCACCTCACAGCAAGAAGGTCGCTGGTTCGAGCCTTGGCTGGGTCAGTTGGCATTTCTGTGTGGAGTTTGCATGTTTCATAAAGGGACTAAACTGAAAAGAAAACGAATGACCGCAATTCTAAAATACTAAAACAGAACTCAACTAGAAAAAAAAAATGTATACTTATTTTCTTAAAAAGTCGTTTGTGTTTGTAATAAATAAGTTTAACTTGAAATTTAAAAAAAAATGTATAATGTTTTAATTAAAAAAAAAAAAACACTATCTGTTGTCAAACATTCTAACAAAGTAGATTTTTCTCAAACATCTACATTATATGAACTGACTTCATAAAGTTGCTAAATAAAAAACACATTTGGTCTAGTTGATAAAAAAACAAAACAAAACAATAAATATCTCAGAAATGTTATTGCACACTAAATCTAAAATTCTCGTCCGTAATTTTAGCATGTTAAATAATAAATTGACCTCACGTTGTGTGAATAGTAGTGACACACTGCCTCCGAAATTTTCGTCCATCATAAAAATTCTAACTGGGTTCAATATTTTTTTGCATCCAAAAAAAGAACTTTTATAGGTGTTTTGACAGTTCAGAGCTATTGTACAAGCGATAAGCTAAATACAGAATGCCATCATTTGAGCTATAGACAACTTTATGACAAACAGTGCATAAAATAAAAACAGAATAAGAACACCTATATGCTGGATTCCGTGACTGGCGCACCTCTACCCTGCTGCTGTTTGGTCTGTGTGTATGTACTGTCCATAGACATTATAATAGAAAGCAAGGTCTACTTTCTGTCCATTGTTCTAATATGTCAACGCGCCCACCATCTATAATAATGTCTACAGGTACTGCCAGTCTCTGTTCTGGATACGCACATGAATGTCTGAGGTATCACAAGCAATGCATTAAAACTCCCCTGACTTCCTGAAATACACTTAGCATTTTTTGATAATAAGCTGAACTTTCCTTCCTCAATACAGTATTGGATGAATGTAATATGTAGTTTATTCCTATGTTTCTTCTTTGAAGAAGAGAGTGGAGAACAAAATATCTCTGCTTAAAATGACTGAAATATTTAGTTTTTGTCATAATAGATTGATTGATACACATCGGACTCAGTGTGCAAGGTTCGTTTACGTGACAAATCTATCGCATATGAATATAGAAAAAAACGCATACGAAAATTTCAGAATTCAGTGTGCAAAGACCCTAACACTGAGAAAACATCTAGCATGATTTATTTGATTTCTTGAATTGGCATTTTGCATATAAACAATATTTTCTTACATAAAAGGATTTTCTAACAGCCGATGTCAGGTAAATCTTCCACAACTAACAGGGCAATTTAAAAGTCACCTTGTTTTATAATATCCATACCATAAATTCAATAAGACAGTGTTCATGTTTTAAAGCACAAGTGAATCTACAAAAATCTTCCTTAAGCACCATAGTCTTAAATGTCAATCCAAAATACCTTATAGTTTCAGACACAGTTTAAAGGTTAGTTCAGATATTGGTCCATAAATCATCAGTCAGATGTTTCTCCAGCAATATGAGCTCTTTCATCTTCATATCCACTATTAACATCAGCAAATGGTGTCATGTAAATCATGTTGAATGAGTGGGTCAATGCAAAGGCTGACACTTGCTGAGATTTATTTGTAGTGCTCTGAGAGCCATCAAAACCCATCCAAAAACCCCCTGAAAAAAACAGACAGTTTTGCTTGGAGATCAATGACTGTGAGGTGTGTGTTTTGTTTCAGGACTGGTGACATTTCGGATCTCCTTAGAAATGATAACCGAGTCGAAAAGAGGTAATATTTTAGAGGGGTTTGTGCATTGGGGGTGTGCAAACACTGCTATATTGTTTCTTCTCTCCGGTTTCCACACTGTTCAAGATGCAACGCCGTGTTGACTTAACCCTGGACAGGAAACCAATTAACTGACTTTAACCTAAACTGTGCAGACTGAGCTGAGAGCTGCTTTGTTTGGGATGAATTTCTCTGGCTTGGTTCACAGGAATGCACAGAGAAGCCTCTCAGTTCACTGAATCCACATAAACTGAGCGCAGCATTTTTATGCACACGGCATTACTTATTCTGGGCGATCCCACGTCAACAAATGGGTTGGTGACGAAACTGCCCAATAAATGGCCTCTGAATGCTTTTCATAGCTTTTAGTTTAGAGTCTGATACAGCTAGTGCTTGACTTAAAGAGAAAAAGTGAAAGCAAATATGACCAAATTACGCCCTATGCTACTAAGTGTTTTAAAATATGTACACTGCAAAAATGCCAATAGGTCAAAATAAATATGAACAAAAACGCCCCCCAAAAAATTGCAATGTTGGGTTTGTCTATTTTTGACCTAATGTTGGGTTATGACAACTCACCATTTTTTAGATTGTAATCGATGTAGAAAATATTGATTGAGGAAAAAAAAAATTATGTGTCATTTGATTTTTTTACCCAAGATCACTGAAAAACAAATAAACAAACAAACAAAAAATTACTGAAAAACAGCAATAATAAAAAAATTGAGAGTATCAAACAATAATAATAATAATAATAATAATAATAATAATAATAATAATAATAATCTTAAATACTCAACCCCCTAAGAAAATAACTAAAAAACAACAATAATATTTTATCGATCCAATTTTATTGATTGGATATATAATATCCAATATAATAATGATAAAAATATTGACAACAACAACAACAACAACAACAATAATAATAATAATATTTATGACAACAACAACAACAGTAATTTCTGATACTCACAAAAACCCAAGAAATTCACTGAAAAATAATATTAATAATAATATTTTAGTGAGTATAAAATATAATAATAATATAAATAATATTGACAATAATAATAATAACAATATTAACGATAACGACAACAACAACAACAACAACAAACATCTTTGATACTCACAAAAACTCAAGAAAATCAAAGAAAAACAGCAATATTAATAATAATATTTTAGTGAGTATGAAAGATAACAATCATATAAATAATATTGACAATAATAATAATAATAATAATAATAATTATAATATTGACAACAACAGTAAAAACATTAATAAATATTAGTACACATTTATATAGTTGCTTTATTTCAAGTTTGTTTTTAATTTATATGTGAGTTTTTTTATATATGTAATGGCAAAGCAGAATTTTCAGCATCATCACTCGTGTCATCTGTGTCACATGATCTTCAGAAATCACTCCAATATGATGATTTGAAGTTCAAGAAACATTTGTTTTTTTTAATCAGACTTTTTTTATTATTAGTGTTGAGAATCTAGCATAACATCTTAGAAAATTAAAAATTGAGATAGGTTTTTGTTTTTAATTCTTTGCTGAATAAAACAATTATTGAACAACAACTACTGAAATAATATATAGGCTGATGCTTGCAAGCTTTGCAAATTCACGTGCATGAAACCAATGTACAGGTGCAAAATATAAACAACTTTGTTTCAGACCCTACATTTCTATAAAACCAAACATGACAATAAAGATTTGGTAAGGTCTCCTTAGTCAGGAAAGTTTTCAAAACTGCTTTTCTATAGTTTCTGCTGTCCTGAGGCTGTGTATGTAGCGGCTGTGTAGAGAAGCGCCACATCTTTGTGTCTGCTAATCCTCATGTGCGGAGGCCAGGCCTTGCATGCTCAACACACACGTCCAGGCCAAAGCTAGCAGAAGTGTTTTTACCAGGCTTCAGACCATTG